CCAGCGCCAGCTCCAGCGGCCGCAGCACAGACTGCTCCCGTGCCAGCTCGAACTCCTGCAACGCAAGTGCCTGTGGGGTCACCGCCTGTGGGGGGTGCTATGGACACCCGCAGGCCAGCAGAACGGCTGTAGGACACCCAACATCTCTGTCCCCAGCTCTGACTGCTAGAGCTTGGGGTGAGAGGGGAAATACAGGCATCGCCTACCTTCTGGGGCATCTTGCCTAGCACCCACTCAAGCTGCAGGTCGACGGGGGTGGGGCATCCTCCCACCTCCTCTGGGTCCCCCTCCTGCACTGGCGCCGCCAGATCGTCCACCAGAATGATCTGGGGAGAGTCAAGAAGAGGGTGGGTTAGCGATCGATCTCCTCCTAGCCTGGTCTATGCCCATTACCGCTTCCCGTTCCATACGTCTGGTACCCGCACACCCCATGCCCAGTCAATACCCGCCACCCACCCTGGGCCAACCTGTGCCTGCTTGCCTGGGCCGTAGGCCCCTGGACCTGGTCTGTACCCCTCTGCCTAGCCTATACCGCACCCCCCCCCCATACCTGCCTGGCCTCCCTGGTCTATACCTTCCTATGTAGTCCATACCACCTACACCTGGTCCATACCTCAATGCCTGCCACAAGGCTGGCCCATATACCCCAAACCCATCCTCCCTGTGCCTCCATAGACCTGCCTTTGTCCACATGCTCCCAAGCCAGGTCCACACACCCCATGTGACCCCCAGTCCATTCCCCCCTGCCCCCGGCACTTACCCGCCCATCACCAGTGACAGTGCCGACGAGCTGTACTGGGCAGCGCTCCCGCTGGCCCAGGCGCTGCAGGAGCTCAGCGTGGGCGGGACGCAACAGCAACGCATTGGACTCCTGGTACTCAGCCCCCCAGATCTCCAGCACGCTCAGCGTCGGGTCTCCCAGCTGCTGGGAGAGGGGTGCATGCTGGGCTGTGTCTGGGGGAGACCCGGGGGTACTGGAGGGGGTAGGGGGCACCCCCAGGCCAGCAGGGGGAGCTGCAGGGCTGGGGGACACATGGGCCCTTCTGTCCCCTGCTCACAGCCCAGCTACAAAGCAGGTACCGTACTGTCCTGCCTACAATGCGCACCTGGAGGAGGTGGGGGAAGAATGGGGAGATCTGTGGGGGGCTGAATCTGGTGCTGGCTGGTAGGGGAGGGGGAGAGGCTGGGGCATCTGGGGGTGAGGGGGATGGATGACGCACCTGGAAACGACTGGCAAAGATGATGGCCCCGGCTGGCTCACTTAGCTCCTTCAACGGGGGGGAGGAAGGCACAGTAAGGGGGGAGAGTGGTCACCCAGGGCTGGGTACTGCCCCTCCCCACCCTTGGGACCCCCCGCACACCCACCATTGCCACCAGCACCCTGGTCGTGGAGGCTGCAGATAGGGTTGCAGTCGCCCAGCTCCACACACCCGCGCAGCAGGCGCTGCAGCTTCTGCTCCATCTCGGCGTCACCACGCTGCACCGCGCCCCAGTCCCGCTCCCCCATGTTGTCCCCTTGCACCTGAAGCGGGAACACACACACGTCACCACGGCAACACTCCGGCATCTGACCTCTAAGCACCCCACTGCATCATTTTCTTGGAGCTGGGGGGGTTATGATGACAGCCCCTGACTCCTGAGTTCCAACTCCCCCCCTGCATTGTGCCCCACCTCTTGCATTCTCCCCTTCCACCTGGGGTGTGGATATGGGAGGAGTTCATCATAGCAACAACCCAGGACCCCTGCTCCCTCCTGTCCTGCCCCCCCCACCTGCTCCCCTACCCCCAAGCTCTTACTTGGATGGAGGAGGCGGCACCGCCCCCGACGCCAATGCGGTACACAGGGCCCCCGACCTTCACCACTTTCATGCCTGGGGGCAGGGTTTGGGGACAGTGAGACCCAGGCATGCACACAGGGGGGACAGGGAGCTTGAGGCCCCACAGCCCCTGCTTCCCTGAATATCCCCCAACCCCTGGGGAGGCTAAAGCCCAGGAAAAGGGAGCCCTGGGGGGTATACAGGAGTGTTTCAAGGTCACATGTTGCATTTACGGCGCAGCTCAGTTGATCACGTTGCATGATATATGAAATGTATGCCAGAAGGGAGCTGTGGTGTCGGGGTATCGCTGGGTTGGAAGCAGGGGGAGGGGTTCAGCTCTCACCAGGCTGGGCAGGCTCCTTGCGCACATGGGCATCCTCGATGGCACCAATGCCACCGGTAAACATGATGGGCTTGATCCACTCACGGCGCCGCTTGTCCGCCAGCACCTGCCCAAAGGAACGTGCGAAGCCTGCGCCCACCAGGCCACCCAGCACATTAGTGCTGTGGACCCCCCCCCAGGCCCTCAGTGCTAGCCTAGGCTCCCCAGCCTCACCCTACCCCTACCCTGAGGCTCACCGGCCAGGACAGGCTCCCCAAACTTGTTGCCATAGTCAGAGGCACCATCGCTGGCCCCAATAGCCACCTCCAGTGGGCGAGCAAAGGCCTCCGGGTAGGGCAGCGCTGCATCCTCCCACGGCAGTGGGTAGCCTGTGGGAGGCAGTGAAGAGAGGGAGGTCAGGTGTGCCTAGATGCTGGGGTGCCCCACAGCCTTCCCCCCTACACCCAAGTTTGTCTGGGTCCTGATGTTGGGGGGAGCCTGGCATGTGGCTAGAAGCAACGTCCCTGGATGGGCGGCATTATGGCCACAGCCTGGGCAAGGGGGCTGGGAGGATTGTGGAGGTGGGGAAGGGGTATTGGGCAGGACTGGGAGAGAACAGGAGACAAAAGGGTCAGGGGGCCCCTTACCGGGGATGTGCAGGTTGCCAAAGCTGTACCCGGCGGTGGCGGCGATGACATGGGCGCCACGCCCTGTGCATTGAACGTCCCGGATGCGCCCGCCCGTGCCTGTTGTGGCGCCGCTGAATGGGGCCAGGCCAGCCGTGGGGGCAGCATGGGGTGAGCTGGGGGATGGGCAGACCCCACTTCCCCACCACGCCACCCTTGCTCCGCCCCCACCCCCAACACACCAGTGGGGAAGTTGTGGGTCTCGGCAGTGAAGATGACGTGCCGCATAGTCGTTCGCTTCTCGAAGGGGCTCGGCCGTGTGGGGTCACTGGGCCACAGCGCCAGGACAGCTCGGCCCTGGATGCCACTGGGGGTGCATGGTGTGGAGGGTCCAGCCACAGCTGCTGGGACCCGGCCCCCCATGCCCTCCCCACCAGCCACACACCCCTCCCCACACCAACCGAATCATGTCCCAGGGCAGTGAAGGAGGATGGATCCTCCTCTGCCCCGGACACCACTCGCCTGGTGTCCCCAGGTGGCACCTGCTGTTGTCAGAGAACTTGATGACATTGTTGGGGTTGCTCGAGTCCTGGGTGCTCATGATGGCCTGGAAGAGCGACTGCGGCAGCTCCTGCCCATCCACCCGCAGCTGCCCCTTGAAGAACCAGTGCCGGCTGTGCTCGCTGGCAGGGGGATGGACGGACAAGCGGGCACTGGGTCAGGCAAGGATGCACGGACACCAGCCCTGCCTCCCCGGAACAACGTGTTGCCACTGCCACCACTCCCCACCCAACCAAGTGCCGCCACTGCCACCACTCCCCCCCAACCATGTGCTGCTACCACAGGCACCTGTTAGACTGGGCCAAGTCGAAGCACTCGACGCTGGTGGGGTTGCGCCCAACGCGCTGGAAAAGCCGTGTGTAGAAGTCCAGGTCCCACTCGTCAAATGCCAGCCCTGGGGGTGGGGGGTGCACAGGAGGAAATGGGGGGTGATAGGTCGGTCAGGGGACAAAGCCCCAAAAAGCATGGATCTGGGGTACCAGGGAGGGAGGGGCCATGTGCTCTCCCAACACCATTTGTCCCCCATAAGCCCCTTTTCCCCCGCTCCCAGGATCCCCTGCCACCCCCAGCCCCTCCCCATAACTGGTCCAATTGACGTTATAGCAGAACTGATGGGTCCCACACTGGGCATCCTACTGATGTGTCCGCCCCCCCTCCCCCGGTGCTGGGACACATACCCAGCTCCTGATTGGCACGTTCGAGAGCGGTGCGACCCTGCCCCAGCACATCCACGGGAAACATGGGGGCAGGGCGGGCAGCGACAGCAAAGCTGGCGATGGGCTCAAGGTAGCGCTGCTCCGTCATGCGATCACCCAGCGCCTCCACTATGCGTGCCTCTTCCTCAGGGGAGGGGTGCTCTGGGAACTGTGGGGAGGGGAAGAGGGGTCAGACCTAGTCCCTCCCTCCCACAGTGCAAAGTCAGGGAGGCCCGAAACCAAGGCAATACTCCCCCAACACACAATGGGCCTGTAGGGAAGCAAGCTGGCTACTGCCAGACCATTTATTAGCTACCTATAAAAAAAAAAAAACGAAAAAAGAAAATGAGCTAAAAACATCAGCATAGTCAGTAAAATATTTTAGGTGTCAGTAAAAACACTTGGTATCTCTGATGGAGAAAACACAGCAGTGTCCCTTGGTGTCCATGCTGGGACGCAGCCTTGTGCTGCTGCAGCAGCTGCCTGTAATATGGCTGGGTCAGAGCAGGGGTTATTGTGTGTATCTGGGTGTGGGAATAGGTAGGGGGACCCTGGTGATGGGTGAGCAGAGGACAGTATCATGCAAACCCATCATTGAAGCCAAGTGGTTTATTGCTGACTCAAGAACAGTTTTTTAACTCCAATTTTTTTTCCTAATGCTCAATTCTTTTTACTTCTGTGACTGTAGCGAACGTGAGGCCCCAGTGTTGGACTCCAGCCCTCCCAGCTGAGGCCGGGCAGCAGGGCGGTGCCTAGCAGCAAGGTGGGGCCAGTCCAGGTGAGACCAATATCCTCTGGAAAAAACACCCGTTGGTGAAAACGTGCGCCAGTAAAAGAAGTTTGACTGTCAGTAAAAAAAATCTGGAAAATACACCAGGAACATAAGGCTAAAACCTGCTAGGATTTGATGGGGGTGGTGAGGTGGGGAAATGGCTAGCCCTGCCCCCAGCCCCCTCCCCACTCACCTGCAGCAGATAGCGACGAGAACACTCCACCCGGTCTATGGCATCCAGTCCGGCGGAGCGGCACACAGATACGGCGTTGGTGGAGGCCGGGGTTGAGAAGTTCAGCCTGGGGCCGGGAGAGGGTTAAACTTGGCCCTGCCCCCACCCCAGGACAAACTGGGGAGTGGGATCACCCCTCCCCCACAGCCGTGCCCACCCAGGGACGCACCGGGGCCCGATCTCAATGAGCAGGTCGTGGGGCTCGGGGCGCAGGAAGGACTTGGGGGCGACATCGTCCACGGCAAAGGGGCAGCCGAAGAGCCAGTGCAGCACCTGTGTCTCCCGTGAGTCTGGTGGCGAGGAGCCTGCAGGAGTTACCCAGCATGCACTGGGACACTGGCACCCCCGACCCAGGAAGAGTCCCCATTACCCGCCCTGCACCAGAGGGGCTATTAACCATCAGGCACTAGTGCTTCTGGCACCCCATGCCAGAAAGAGTCCCCACCTTGCCCCCCTGCACCACAGGGGGGTATTACCCAGCATGCACTGGGGTCCTAGCATCCCCACCTTCCCCCCTGCACCAGAGGGTCGTTACCTAGCATGCACCGGGACACTGGCACCCCTCCCACCCAGGAAGACTCCCCACTACCCTGTCTGCAGTGTGGGGGGCATTGCCCAGCATGCACTACAGCTCTCAGCTGTCCCCTGCCTGCCCCCAACCCAGACCCTCCCGCCTTACCGGTCCAGCTGACGTTGTAGCAGAGCTCGAGGGCGACGGCGCGAGCCCCCCCCAGTGCCCCCCGTGCTGCCCGCAGCCGCGCCCCGGGACCCTGCTCCAGCCCGGACCCCCCCGGGCGCACGTAGTAGTGCAACACGCCCATGGCGCCTGCTGGGGGTGGTGAGAGACGGGGGTCAACGGGGGCCCCAGCACACCCCCCCCCAGCAACGAGACCCCCACCGCCATGACCCAAGGAACCCGGGCGTCCAAGCTCCCCCC